TGTTCTCTGTCACCAGCTTCACTAATGTCACATTATTTTTAATTTATTCTTTTATATTTATATATTATATTAAAGTGGCTTCAAGTTTAAACTGGGATGCTAAAACAATTTTTCAAATCGCATTTCAACAAATTTCTACTTCTTCTTTCACATGAATGCTTCCTAAGTGGACAAACAATATGGATAGAGAAAAACTGAGGAAGAAAGAGAATAATTTCAAAACACTGCATTCCATTTGAGAAAGGGGAGAAAAAAATAACAGCAAGGCAAAAAAGTCCCCACAAATATTAAATTCAGAGCTGAAGACAGACTGAAGTGCTTCCCTCAGGCAGATCAGCTGCACGCAGATGTAATTCACCTGTTCCGCCGTACCGTTGGTATCCTGAGCAAGATCTGAAAGGAAAACTAGGAAGCTAAGATATAAAAATAGATCTATCACACTACAAAGGTTATCTCAAAAATCAGCTTCATATATTTCAGGGAACCAAAAAAACAAGTTTCTGCCATGTCACTGTATTTGCTATTTCTTTTTCTCCTGTCCAAACCCAAGCTCAATGGAAATGGACAATATTCAGCTCTGTTGATGGTCACAGTGACAACATTTGTGCCTTAAGAACTTACTGATTGGAGTTGTGGTCATCTGCTGATAAGCCTGCGAGCGAGAAGCACCCAGACACAAAGGAACCCATTGAAACGGGTGTAACTGTAAGTCTCTAATTATCCTTTCTAATTTTGGAGCCATGTGACAGGACTTCACACAGCACCACTGACCCCTGGTCAGCCTGAGTGCCATGTAGCTGGACCACACAGGGAGGGGATGCTTCTCTTTGCTTCTTCATTTAAATACTGTGTTCCATGCGTAGGGTGAGCTGTTTCTGGCTGACATGTGGCTCACTGATCAACAGGCAGGCAGAGCACCTGGGAGAGTGTATTAGGCTGGTGCAAAAGTAATTGCAGTTTGCCATTGAAAGTAATGACAAAAACTTTAATTACATTTGTGGTAACCTCATAGTCCGTCCAGATTTATTCCAGGATTTTAAGAGGCTTTTTCACCTTACACAGAGTGAGCTGCTTGATGTCACAAAGGTATTTAATACTTTTAAAGACAAATAGACAGGCACTCAAAAAAAAAAAAAAAAAAAAAAAAAGAAAAAGTCTTTCCTAACTGGATACTAGAATATTATAGATTTGGAATATTTTCTTCTTTGACTTGAGTAGAGAGAGTAACAGGGATGAACAATTGTCCCTCTGGCCACCAAAGGATGGCTGAGCCCAAGCCTGGAAGGCATTTCTGAGGGAAAGAACTAAGTGCTACAACACCCCAGTCAGCTTTCCCCACCTCTCTCACCTTTCTTTAAAAGAGCAATTCAGCTGAGAACAATGTCATCCTGTGTTCAGAAAAAATCACCGTCCAATACTGCCACTGAAATAATCTTTAATGACACAGTAAAGACAGATGTTGAAACAGAAAAGGATTTAAAAGGAAATCTAGGCAATACCAAAGCAAATACATTTTTGTTTTGTTGAAGATATCTGGTCTTGTTCTAGATCTACCATGAAATCATTATCACTTGGCCCAGTTCAGCACAGTCCAGGAAGAGCACGGGCTCTGGAGGCCGACTGCCTGTGTTCGAGGGCTAAGCATGCCACTCACCATCTGTGTGACCTTGAGCAACTTACTCAGCCTCTCTGCACACCTTGGTTTCCTTATTTGGAAAATTAGAACACTAATAGTTCCTTTCTTCCTCCTAGCTCATGATGAGAACCAAACATCACGTGTTTACTAAATAAATAAAACCTATAGGCTACATATGACACACAATTATATTCAGAGACTAGCTAAAGTAATAATATTTTTTACAAGCTAATGACTAACACTTTATACATTAAAATCAATACTTGATTTCCTTGGTTCACGTCTACCAAATATCAAGGAGGCGTGACCAGGGGAGAATTCGTTAGTCTTATTCCTTGTCTTTTGTGCCTTCCTCAGAGCTCACTTTATCCAATGTGCTCAGACCCCACCTCTAGCAAGGAAGCAGGAGAGGCAGGTGAACACAGATGGCATGGAGGCATGGGCACTGCTTTTACTTATCACTTTTCTTTTGTAAATATATTAATACAATCGAAATTTTTTTTGCCTTTAATTCTAACACTTGGGCCCTCAGTGCTTGGCTAAAGGACAGGCTTCATACCTCAATGTCCACTTCCTTACCTCAGCAGGGGGATATTTTAACATAGATGAAATTTTAAAAGGCCAGCTCACTGATTGCTTTAAAAATATGTGGAAACATGTTTACTATTGACCTGGTAAATTTTCCCTCAAATTGAACGCATACACTGCCACGACTACCACCAACAAGCAGCTCTACATTGAGAACTTAGTTTCTTGAAAACAGATCATCTCAGACTTCTGGCTTTATCAACACATGGCATGAGAGAAATCAGATCAAAAGAAGAATAATAATATGAGAGAACCAACACCTAGCACAGTGAATGAATCTGGCCTAGGAGTCAGACAACTTGAATTCTAGTATAGTATCTGTCACAAGACAGCCACGTGGCTTTGGGTAATATATCCCATCAAACTGGAATACAGATTCTATATTATTTTAAAAACTTTTTTAAAAAAGCTATCTGAGGCCCATTCAAGTAGAAAAACATCCTAATTCTCTAACCCAGAATACTAACACAATTCTTTTGTGGTTGCAGCTTCTCCAAATCACTAAGGAAGGCAGAAGGGGGTAAAGAAAAACATGAGTTTTCCAGTTTCCTTAAAATTTCTTAGGATCATTAAACCTGCCCTACCTTTTAACCTTGAATAGAGGCATACATCAGAAAATAAAGCTTCCTCCACCTATAACCACTTATTATCATATGCCAACCTCAAATAACACAAAATGGGGGGGTCCCGCCAAGCTTGTCTGTCCAAGCCACTGGCAGTGCTCAGCGCACGGTAGGATGACCACCGTCAGGAATTGTACAGGAGGAGTGCCCGGGCTCGGGCAGAGGTGAGCTGGCACGTCTCCAAGGTGCTTGTCACTCAGCACTAGAATGTGGTCCTTTACTACTAGACAAGATCTCCTGGTTTGACAATAAAGGGACACAGCTGAAACTTTATCTCAACACGGCCTGAAGGATACCACTGTTTAAATCTGAGATGCTAAAACACTATAACCTACTCCAATACTCTCTCCCAACTATTTAACTCTGTCCATCCTCGTGACTGGCACCCATGCTGGCCCAAATGATGACAACCTCCCGTTCTAAGTGCACAAGCCGCACATTTAACAAATCTTTCACCCAATTCCTTCACTGATGTTCATCTCTTGGCTTCACTTACAACCCCTCCCTGTGGCTTCTGCAGTGAAGCCTCTCGGCCCAAAACTGTTCAGTTCCCCAAACCATGTTTGGTCTGTAATATAAACAACTTCCACTCACCCTAGAAAACTGAGTTGGGATTTCCATGAAATTATCTGCAAACCTTTCCTACAGCATTTTATCACAATTTGCAGTCCTCAGAGATGATGGTGAAAGGGGAGGACTAAGGTGGCACCCTCCGCCGAGGAGCACCCCCTTGCAGGGACACTGTTTTCAGGGATGCTTCCTCTCCAGGACTCTTCCGCTGACAGACATTCTCATCTCAGAGATACAGGAAGTCTAGATGTGGACTAATCAGGCAACCAGTTCATATGCACACATTTACCCAGGCTCTGCTTTGTACCATGTCCTGTGTGAGGTGCTTTAGTCTCTATTAACCCTTTAAATCTCACGGCCTCACAACACACTGGATCATTAACCCCATTTCGTAAATAAATAAATCAACTTTCAGAGAAAATAAGTGACTTGCCCAAGTAATTCAGACCAAAATCTTGTGGTTTTGACACCTTGTTCTTTTTATTCTCACTGTGACCCAATGAGACAACCGATATCCACAATCCATTTTCACAAGGAAATGCATCGCTACAGTGTCACAAGGTGCCAATCCTGAATTTGCTCATCCAATGAACTATTAACCTTCAAACTGGTTATAGAAAATGCTCAGCACAGGACGGACTGCCCAAAAAGAGAGGTGCAGTGAAAACCTGTATTATTAGCTTTTTTAAAAAAAAACGAAAAGCACTGGTATTATTTCATACAGCTTTAAACAGTTTTAAAATAGTTGATCACCATTTAACACCCCCCACCAGCTCCATACAAACACACACACACACACATACACACACACACACACACACACACACACAAATATATCAAAACAAAATTCATAAAATTGTCACAGGAAGATAACCTGAAGATGACGAGCATGAAGAAATGAAACGCTGGGTAATCCATAAATAGATGTGGAATCCCCAGATGACAGGCAAGGTGCATACAACGTACAAAATGTATCATTTTATCTCCCAGATAGACTAAAATCCTAAAGTAGAGAGAGAAAATAAATACGCAGCCTAGACCAAGATATCAGCTCTCTCAAGCATCTGTCTAATTGGATCCTCCCTTCAACATGTCTGGAACAGGAGGACAGAATAGGACCTCTCAGAGCAAAGGACTGGAAGAGACTTTGCTGACTGCATAGTCCACCACTTTAGTTTCCAATGAAGGAATCTCTGAGCTAATCAAATAACCTTCTTGAAGACATCAACCACCCTCAGTGCCAAACTAAAGCTACGACCTCTCAGTGTTCTTTTCATAGCACCACATCACTGCCATTGTCGGAGCTGATACCTCACTCATCATCCCCAAATATTTGTTTGGTATCCAATTTATAGTCATCCAGGAAATACCACAGACTAAAATGATCACAGTTTGCCAATTTGACAAACCACTAAGGTGTGTCCTTCCTGCCCTAAAACTCAAATTACTTTTTACTCACATCATTGGCTTATACCCACAGAAATTGGCCAAATGATTTAAAAATATATTCCACACTCAGATTTCCCAAAGAAGAAATCCTACAAAAACCACCAGTATGAAATGTATGAGAATGGGACAAGTACCTTCCCCAGAAAGCAATCTCCGGGGTGCCTTTCGTGTAGATGGAGTCGTTGGCATCATTCAGCCCATTGGTGACCCCACTAGAATAGCCCATCATGATTCCACCATCTGCTGACACACTCAGGATATCCTGATGTCCTCCCCCTGATGTCCTCTCCAAGAACTGACCACCTTCTTTAATGCGCTGTTGTATCATTGGAGTGAGGGGCATTTCAAAGCTAAAATAGCTATCAGGCTCTGAGTATAATGTCTCCAGGGACTCCGCACTGTAGTATAAAGAAGTGTTGTCCAAAATGGTTTCAAACTGGGAGCTGTACACATCAGTGGAGTCCTCCGTATATCCAGGCCCGAGGATGTCTTCATCTTCCCCCTTAACGTGCTCCTCTTGTTCAGTGATCCTGAAAAGTAAATGAGAGTGAGGAATTCCAAGATTAGGTTAATGTCTTTATTTTTCCCCCTTCAATCCTATAAAAAGGACAACATTCTGAAGGTCTAACTCTTCTATTCATTGACTTATATCTTAACATATTTGGGAAGGAAACTATGAAACATAATCAGGTTGAAAAATTCTCACCATATATGTGGCTAGGACACTATAAGTAATTTAATAAAGTTTCAAACTAGCTTCCTAATGTGTGAATACATCTGGTCCAATGAATATGTGAATAAAATACTCAATTCTCATTTTAGCCAACTATACCGTGCACATTCAGATTATTTGCAACTACCAGCATTCCTAATTATAACAGAATCAGATAAATATATCATGTAAACTTGATATGGCAAAATTTCGGTAAAAATACACCAAACTTTCATCAGTTGATTAATACTTTCTGATTTAAATAAGGCCACAAATGCTCTCAAGCAGATGACTACATCAGAAGCCAAGAGCTGCCCCCTGCTGACAACAGAGCAGCACTGCAGAGAGATTTCAGGTCCAAAATTAGATAGCCAAGGAGCAGCCTAACAAAAGCCAACAGAAGCCAAGGGTAACCAAAGCCTTGAGATACTAGAAACAGCTCAAAAGTCAATATACAGGGTGGGGCATTCACTTCGGCACACAAATGTGAACAATTAATATGCAGCATGTTCTTCAAATATTAAAAATGAACATTAGGATAACTAAGTAAAAAAACTTGGGAGATAGATAACTAGGAAGAGCAAGAGGTCAAGAGTTAGACAAACCGGAAGCTGAACTTTGGCTGTCTCAATTACTAGCTATATCACTTGAAGCAACTTTACTTAACCTCTCTGAGCCTCAGATTCCTACAAATAGGAATAAAATAGAAATAGGAATTATCTATTAAGCATCTCATAAGTCATCCACATTCCCAGATATTACTAGAATCCACATTCAACATTGCAATTGGTTTGTTGTTTTCAAATACTGAAGGTCAGCCATGGACCAAATGCTATGTTCTTAATGGCTTCCCACTGCACTTGGCATAAACTGGACCATTCCTAAGATGATGCTCCTCCCTACCTCTCCACACTCACTGCACCCCATTCTCCCCTGCTCTTTTTTTTTTTTTTTGAGATGCAGTCTAACTCTGTCACCCAGGCTGGGGTGCATTGGTGCAATCTCAGCTCACTGCAGCTTCCATCTCCCAGGTTCAAGTGACTCTCCTGCCTCAGCCTCTCAAGTAGCTGGGATTACAGGCACATAACACAACGCCTGGCTAATTTTTGTATTTTTAGCAGAGACGGGATTTCACCATGTTGGCCAGGCTGGTCTCGAACTCCCGACCTCGGGTGATCCACCTGCCTCGGCCTGCGAAAGTGCTGGCATTACAGGTGTGAGCCCCCATGCCCAGCCTCCCCTGCTCTTCAGGCATCAGCCACACAGGTTGAGTTTCAAAACTTCAAGCCTGGCACAGGCCTTGGCTTCACACATCTGCAGGAAGCACACACTAGTCAGGGAGCTCAGCAGCCTCCTATGCACATGCTGTTCCCTCTGCCTGGAATATTCTTCCTACCCCTTCTCTGCCTGGCAAACTCATTCCTTCCTCACGTCTCAGTTTAATTTCCATTTCCACAGAAAAGCTTTGTCCAAGCCATCAACTGAACTGGCCTCTCCCCTCCATCCAAATTATTCTTTCTCGTAGGTCTCTGTTCTTTTCCTTCACAGAACCTAGCACACTTTGTGATCCTATACCTATTAGCATGTTTATGCGATCAATGTTTATCTTCAGCGATAAATTCCATGAGGACAGTAACCGTGAGCCGCATCTATTTTGAACATTCTTTCATGCCCAGCATCTTGCAGTGTCAGGACATAGGAGACAACCGAAAAATATTTGTGGGAAGGAAAAAAAGAATGAATTATTAATCTGAACAACAGTAAAAGTATATATTCCAGTGGGAATATAAACACTGGGCCACATGCCACATACCAAGGCCGCTTTGGAGGGAAGTCTGGAGAGCTGATGGGTTGGGGAGGGGAGTAGGAAGGATCCTGCCAGCGATCCCAAAGGAGCAACACTCTCAATGGGTTTGTTAACTGCAGAGGAAAAGGCATTTCCTTACACCGAACAAGAAAACAAGAAACAACCCTTGGCTTTGACACAGATGCTCTCCTGTATAAACTATCAAACATGGTGTCATGAGGACTGACAGAAGAAAAGATGGTACCAATTAGAGGTACAGTACATAACAAATGACTACGATCGAAGGGAGTGGAGAAAGATGGGTCATGTCTGCCATTTATCCAGAGTCTAAGCTAGTGTAGATGTCAGAAATGCAGAGGAAGACCAGGAAATACCACATGACGCCAAGTTTCACTCATAAAGGCCATAAATCTCATAAGTGGGAGTTAAACAATGAGAACATACGGGCACAGGGAGGAGAGTATCACCCACTGGGCCCTGTCAGGGGGGTGGGGGGCAAGGGGAGGGATAGCATTAGGAGAAATACCTAATGTAGGTGATGGGTTGATGGGTGCAGCAAACCACCACAGCACGTGTATACCTATGTAACAAACCTGCACGTTCTGCACATGTAGCCCAGAACTTAAAGTATAATTAAAAAAATAATAATAAAAGCCATAAATCAAAATATATGCTACTTGTGAGAAGAAGAAATTCCCATGTGAATACCAGGGATAAACTGAATTATAAAATCCACTTCTGAATCCCTGAGATGTCATTTCTAAACATAGGAAGCGGCCAGCACAGTGGCTCACGCCTGTAATCCCACCATTTAGGGAGGCCAAGGTGGGAGGATCATTTCATCCCAGGAGTTCGAAACAGCCTGGGCAACACAGTGGGACCCCATCTCTACAAAGAAGACAACAGTTGGCCAGGCGTGGAGGTGCACATCTGTACTCCCAGCTACTCAGAGGGCTGAGATGGGAGGATCTCTTGAGCCTGGAAGGTCAAGGCTGCAGTGAGCCATAATCACCACCGTACTCCAGCCGACAGAACGAGACCCTGTCTCTGTATAAATAAACAAACAAACACACACAGGAAATTGAGTGGGCCCAGAACCTCTGTATACATACATGTATGTAGGCTGGACTGAAGGCATTGGTGTTATACCCAGAAGAAATGCCAAGGTTGGAAGTACCGGCTACATAGGCTGTGTCAAAAGAGTCCAAACCTTTTTATATTACTAAAGATTACGGTGGGCTATGTTAGTTACCTTGATGTTGGAAAACTTGAAATCTGTCAAATGTTAAGAAAATGTCAGAAAAGAATTCATAGTGTAGTGTTCACAGTCTGTTCAGAACTCTGTTTCCCTGGTCCATGCCTAATGGATGACTTTATAACGAGATCACTTTAATATTTGAGAAGCTTAGGAGGAATCTTAGCTTAGAAGGACCTAGCTTATAGTAGCTCCTCTTACATTCTATGATAACAAGGACCCAACGTTTTGTGACTGAGTTCTCCTATCAGGCACAGGATAACGGTTTTCTATGATAAGTACCAGGCATCTCAGACAGCTACTCTGGGAGCTCACCTTTCCTTGTCTCTCTCTGGTTCAGGTGTCTTCTCAAGACGCTGTTTGTTTTCCTTTAGGAAGACTTCATCCTCTCCACTCTCATCAAGACGCACAGGGGAAAATGTCCCCGAGCTAGTGCCAGGCCTCTCTGAAGGAGCTTTCCAGGACTCATCCCAAACATGGTCAGTTAAACGACTTGAATTACACAAACCAGCTGATGAGATGAGACGGCATGGCACTTTGGAAAACTCTTTGCTTTCAGGAGAGGCTGTTCTTTGCAGTGATGTCTCAAAATCTACAGGATTCTGGGTCTCTCTCTTATCTCCTCCTGTCCACAGTATCTCCACTCCTTGAAATTCCACATGTTTGACCCGGCCTGGGCGTCCCATGGAGCTGCTTTGATCACATCCCCCTGGGTGCTCTCTCCCAAGAGCAGACCTCTGCTCTTTTAAGAAACCAACACTGCTTGCCGAGTGGCAGGTCACTGCTGAGCTCCCGAGGGAGGCCACGGGACAAGATGGCTCCTGCACACAGACAGCCCCCTTCCTCCCATTATTCATTATCTGGGAAAGCTCTGCCTGAGTGTCTCCAGTTAACAGCGCGGTCAGATCCTTCTGGATGCTTAAATAAAAACTTTCCTCCGTCGTTACTTCAGCTGAAAGAGGTATTTCTGGTGCTTTTTTTTGGCCAGCAGGGAGCAGTTTGTTGACTCTCTGTGTTTTACGACTGGCAGTGTCCAGCTCTTTTTCCACCTGCTGAACTGAAAAACTAGAAACAGCATCTTGGTCCAGTACCTTTGTAGCCTGTAATGTTCCGGAAATGATTCTGGCTTCTGTGGCTTTCAGAGCTGAAATTAAAGAGTCAATGGGCTGTAAACTTTGTTCCTTGAGGTGACTTTGAGAGGGGGCCTCTCTGACATCTTTTGGTCCTTCTGTAACACTGTCGAGCCCAGAGTGGCAGCCAGTAAGAGGCTGGACACCATGCTGCTCTTGCGGGTGGCATGGCAGAGTCTCACCATCAAACTCCAGAGAAGCCCTTAGGCCATCTCCACCTTCCTCCATGGTCCCATACTCTGGAAATTCATTTGTGACATTTGGTGGGAGTAAAGTGCTTCCTCCATGATCACCTGTGAAAAGAACACAATGGACGCATGATTTGTTGTAGAAAGACAGGGCCCAGGAGGTAACGATGCATATTCGCACAGATTAGGCACTCAGTAACACTTATTCACTTGATTACTGCATTGTATCTGTCCTCCCACCACCCTGTAACACATACTTCTCATGACACTGCAGTGACCCCTTCTACTCAGCCTACATGAGTATAACCACAAAACTTTCAGCATAGAGGACAGTCTAATGACACCTGCCATATTTAACTTTGCTTCTGGTGTCCCATATGTGAGGATTCAGTAACTCAGTTGCTTCATTTGCAAAAAGGGATTACAATAAGGATATGTACCACCTTCCAAATACCACTCATAAAACAGCAACTAAAATATTTACATTGGGCATAGCACTAAAGAGCCCTATGACCCAGCCAGCAATATCTGTGCAGTGCAATCTATTAGACAGCCTCTGCAAAACACTTAGCATCTGTTTACACTCAGTCAGTATTTTTTTCTGCCAGAAGTCTGCCCTTCATTGTTGGGTTTCTGTGGAGGGAAAAAAATGCTTTCAAAACATCCCTGAAAAATAAGAATGAAGTCAACATGGAATGAGAAACTTACTGCGTTGATCAAGATTTCCAGGATCCCAACTACAGAAAATGCATTGTTCTCATTTCATTTATTTTCTCAATTGACAATAGTTTGTTTATATATATACACACGTATGTTTATATATATAAAGTTTATATATATATTATACAACATGAGTGTATATGTATGCATTTAATATATGCATACACTTGTAGAGTAGCTAAATCAAGCTAATTAACAACATACTTTACCTCAAATTTTTGGTGTGTAGTGAAAACATATGAAACCTACTTACTCTTCTAGCAATTTTCAAGTTTACAATACATTGTTATTAACTATAGTCACCATGTTCTACAACAGACCTCCTGAATTTATTCCTCCTATCTAGATACAATTTTGTATCCTTTGACCAACACCTCCCCAATCCCACCACCTGCCAGTCGCTGGTAACTATCATTCTAGTTTCTGCTTCCAAGAGGTCAACATTTTAGATTCTACATATTAGTAAGATCACCTGCATAAAATTTTAGTGGCATCTTATGAAGAACCACAATATATGAAGTATACAGTATTTAATTAGTATATATTCACTGTATTGAACCAAATTTATAATATTTTCTTGTTAAAATGAAAGCCAGTGAGAACTGAAGATGGGGACATTCTGACAAACCAAAACTTTAAATTGGGGGTTTACAGAGAGCAATTAGAGTCCTATCAGTCCCAGTATCCAGTCTTCTTCTGAACTTCGTTTTGGTTACTTTGTATCATGAAAACCCTCATCTATGCTGGAAATACAGTGTACTCACTTCTACTTTATGAAAGAGGACATTAGTTGTTACCATTTTTATTTATTTTATTTTATTTTATTTTATTTTATTTATTGAGATGGAGTCTCACTCTGTTTCCAGGCTGGAGTGCAGTGTTACGATCTCAGTTGACTGCAACCTCTACCTCCTGAGTTCAAGCGATTCTCCTACCCGTCTCCAGAGTAGCTGGGACTACAGGTGTGTGCCACTGCGCCCAGCTAATTTTTGTGTTTTTTTTTTTTTTTTTTTTTTAGTAGAGATGGGGTTTCATCACGTTGGCCAGGATGGTCTCGATCTCTTGACCTCATGATCCACCCACCTCTGCCTCCCAAAGTGCTGGCATTACAGCCATGAGCCATGGTGCCTGGCCATTGTGACCATTTTTAAACTACTGCAGAGTTACAACCTTCCTATTTTGTGAAATATTTGATAAATGTCTGTAATATATACACTGAAATGGCTGAAAAAAGACTTGATTCTACCTGTAATCCCAGCTACTTGGGAGGCTGAGGCATGAGAATCATTTGAACCTGGGAGGCAGAGGTTGCAATGAGCCAAGATTGCACCACTGTAGTCCAACCTGGACGACAGAGTGAGACTCCATCTCCAAAAAAAAAAAAAAATTTGATTTCCAAGGCATGCACTAAATGAGGTAACTTGGAAACATCAGTTATCCTAATAACTGACAATTATTAATTACTGATACAATTACTAATAATAGATGTATTGCTATTTAACACACGGTATCCCCCAGTGTGTTAAACAGCAATACATCTGAGAGCGTATGTTGCTTCATATTCCATGTTGTAAAATAATTTGAATACATACACTTTTTTTTTCTTTTTTAAAGACAGGGTCTTACTCTATCATCCAGACTGCAGTGCAGTAGTACGATCACAGTTCACTGCAGCCTCAAACTCCTCCGCTCAAGTGATCCTCCCACGCCAGCCTCTCAGGGAGCTGGGACCACAGGTGTGCACCATCATGCCCTGCTAACGTTTTTATTTTTTGTAGAGATGGGGTCTCACTATGTTGCCCAGGCTGGTTTCAAACTCCTGGCCTCAGATGATCCTCCTGCCTTGGCCTTGGGATTACACGCATGAGCCACCATGCCTGCCCTGAAATATATTTTTAAAATTACATTCGAATCAAGTGTTGATGGAATCTAACAAGCACTTCTCTGTGATAGTATTTACAATACCTTCCACGGAAGACAGAACTAATAAACCGTAGCTTGCTTACATCTGAAAAGGAAGCGACTTTTCAAACAATGAATTGAAAAAGACGATAGCTAAAAACAATGAAGAGCCGTCTTCCTAGGGTGGAATATTGACATTTTCTTTCTTTCAGTAAGGAATGCAGTAGGTCTTTTCATGGTTCCACCTTTTAAGATTCAGTCATTTTTAGTATATTCACAAAACTGTACAACTATCACCACTACCTAATTCCAGAACATTTTTATCACCCCCCCCAAAAAAACTCTGTATCCATAAGCAGCCACTCCCTACTTCAGCTTTTCTCAGCCCCTGGTAACTACCACTACACTTTCTGTCTCTATGGAATTGTCTATTCTGGACACTTGATATAAATGCAATCATACAATATATGGCATTATGGGTCCGACTTCTTTCACCTAGGACAAGGTTGTCAGGTTACTCATGTCGTATCATGTATCAGAACTTCCTTCCTTTTTCTTTATTATTTTATATATATATAAAGAGAGACAGAGTCTCTCTATGGTTCCTAGGCTGGTCTCAAACTCCTGGTCTCAAGCAAACCTCCCACTTCAGCCTCCCAAGTAGCTGCACTACACGTATGCACCACTGAGCCTGGCTGAGAACTTCATTCCTTATTATTGCCACATAATATGTCATCGTAAGCGAACAGTCTTTACTTTGGCCACTCATCAACTGATGAGATATTAGAGCTGTTTCCACTTGTTGGCTGCTATGAATAAAAAATGTGTACATAAGTTTCAGGGTCTAAATATATTTTTTCTTTTCTTTCTTTTCTTTGAGACAGGGTCTCACTCTGTCACCCAGGTTGGAGTGCAGTGGCACGATCACGGCTCACTGTAACCCTGACCTCCTGGGCTCAAGCCATTCTCCCACCTCAGCCTCATGAGTAGCTGGGACTACAGGCACAGGCATGCACCACCATGCCCAGCGAATTTTCTTTTTTTTTTTTTTTTTTGTGGCAGAGATGAGGTTCCACCACGTTGCCCAGGCTGCTCTCAAACTCCTGGGCTCAAAGGATATGCCTGCCTCGGTCTCCTAAAGTGCTGGCATTACAGACATGAACCACCACATCTGGTCTACATATATTTTTGATTCTCTTCTGTATACACCTAGAAGTGAAATTTCTGGATCATATAGTAAATCTATGTCTAATATTTTAAGAAACTGCTGAACAGTTTTCCAAAGCAACTGCACTATTTTACATTCCTACAAGCAATGTCTAAGATTCTATTATTGTCTGTTCTTTGTTACAGACATCCTAGAAGTGGTATCTCACTGTGATTCTCATTTGCATTTCCCTAATGACTAATTATGTTGAGCACCTTGTCATGTGTTTTTTGGCCATTCGTGCATCTTTTTTAGAGACATGCCCATATGATGGCTGAATTATTTGTCTTTTTATTACTGAGTTGTAGGAGTTCTTTATCTATTCTGGATATAAGTTCTTTATTAGATATATACTTTGCAAATGTTCTCTCCCATTCTGTGAGTGGTCATTTTTCACTTAATTGATAGTGTCTTTTGAAGCACCAAAGTTTTTAATTTTGCTGAAATCCAAATTATCTGTTTTTCCTTTGGTCTCTTGTGCTTTTTGTATCAGATGTAGCAAATCATGGTCTAAACCAAGGTCACAAAGATTACTTTCACGTTGTCTTCTAAGAGTTTTGCAGTATTTGCTATTATATTTAGCTCTCTCATCCAATTTGAATTAATTTTTGTATACGATGTGAAGTAGAAATCCAACTTCATTATTTTGTATGTGGATATCCAGTTGTCCCAGCGCTATCTGTTGAAAACACTATTCTTTCCCCATTGAAAAGTGTTGGTGCCCATGTCAAAACTCAGTCGTATACATATATTAATATATATGCAAAGGTTGGCTTCTGGACTCTCCATTCCATTGAGCTAGATGCCTATCTTTTTTTTTTGGACAGAATCTCACTCTGCCACCCTGGCTGGAGTACGATGGTGCAATCCCAGCTCACTGCAGTCTCGACCTCCTGAACTCAAGTGATCCTCCCACCTCAGCCTTCCGAGTAGCTGGGGCTATAGGCGTGCACCACCATACCTAGACAATTTTTCATTCTTTTAAGAGACAGGGTCTCACTACATTGTCCTGGCTGGTCTTGAACTCCTAGGCTCAAGTGATCCCTCTCACCTCAGCCTTCCAGTGTCGGGATTACAGGCATGAAGCACCACACGTGGCTAGATGCCTATCTTTACACCAGAATAACACTGTCTTCACTACTGTAGCTTTGCAGTAAGTGAAATCTGGAAGTGTGAGTCTCCTCCAACCTTGTTCTTCCTCTTCCAGGTTGTTTAGGTCACTCTGGGCCCCTTGAATTTCCCATGACTTTTAGAATCAGCTCATCAGACAGCTGTG